GTTAAAAACTGTTGTTCTTTTGAGGCCCTCAAGGTGGCGCTTGCGGCCCACAATTGGGCCACGGCCCACAGGTTAAGAATCTCTGATTTAAAACATTAGATAGATTATATAAACTGTAAAATATTAATAATAATTGGATTAATATTATTATTAATAGTTTTAATGATTTATACATCATCAGTCCTTTTTTCTGCTCTGTTGTCAACATGTACAGTAATGGGAAATCCAGACTCTTGACCGTTTAGAGTTAGCTGTTAGCTTCTCCAGCCGATCACACGGTCACGTAGTTTTTGCGCACTCCAGCTGTTCTATAGAACCTCCGTGGTTCAAACTTAGTCAGCAAAATTCACAGTGTAAACTCTCTATTTCAATCCATTTTTGACAGCTACTTTTACTGCAGTCCAGTTGTACTGGGAAACTGGAATGTCCCACTTAGAAATTTTAAATTTTAACTGAAACGCCCTTCCAGTGGGAGGTCCTTGTAGGAAAGTGCAAGTTTCATGGTCTATGTTTTTATGCCTTGGTTTTCCTAATGTTTCAGTGTTCCCGTGTTCTCTGCTCTGCTGCCCCGCCCATGCTCACCTGTTTCCCCTTGTGTCTCCTCCAGGTGTTTCTTGTTTGTCCCCGTTAAGTTGCCTTTATATTTTGTGTCCTGTGTTTGGTCTGCATCGGATCATTGTGCTTTGTAGCCCGTCTGGTTCTTCATGTCTTTTGCCACGTCTCGTCCGAGTTTTTCAGCTGCCTCGTTAGCCTTTTTGATTTAATAAAACTTTCTTTTTTCTTCATCCGAACTCTGCCTGTGCCCTGGGTCATTCTACAATCTGACCAAGCACCCAGCCCACAGGCACCTCGTTTTCAGGTTTTTCAAGAGAGGTGTTGAAAATTTTGTCTCGCCGCCTCTCAGCGCTTCTGTCTCTCACCTCTCACTGGAGTCCATCGACATCACCTGAGCCCTCCACAGCTGGTCTTCCTCTTTCTGCCCCTGAGGAGCCAGTCCTGTCTTTGCCACCCTGGGAGGAACAAGTGACGTCCCCTCTCATCGGAGGAGCACTGAAGATCCTCGGGTGGACTTCTACGCTTGCCGATAGACGGCTTCCAGGCTGGCAGATCGAGCGCGTTTTGGTGGGTCGTCCTTATCTGCTGCTTCTGCCCGGCCATCAGYGGCTCCACCTGTTTGTTCAGAGGGTTCTGGCTGAGCCATCATGCACCCAACCTCCCACCCCTTCTGTGTTTCCCGTGCCGGTTGTTGGTGTTCCTGGGCCTTTGCTGCCCGAACAGGCTGTTCCTGCTTCTGAGTCATCTGAGTCACCTGAGTCATCTGAGTCATCTGGGTCATCAGGGTCATCTGGGTCTTCTGGGTGTACTGGTTCTTCTGGAGCTTCTGAGTTGGTGGTTCCAGTCCCAGCTCCTGAGTTGTTGGTCCCGGTGTCTCCTGAGTTGTTGGTCCCGGTGTCTCCTGAGTTGGCGGTCCCAGTGTCTCCTGGGTCGGCAATCCTTGAGGTTCGTGGGTCGGCTGCTGGCCACCCCACGTTGCCCATTGCCTCCTCTTCACCTGGGTCAGCTGCCGTCACCTCCGAATCGCCTGGGTCAGCTGCCATTGCCTCCACGTCGTCTGGGTCGGCTGCCATCGCCTCCACGTCGCCTGGGTCGGCTGCCATCGCCCCCACATCGCCTGGGTCGGCTGCCATCRCCTCCATGTTGCCTGGGTCGGCTGCCATCACCTCCACATCGCCTGGGTCGCCTGGGTCAGCTGCCGTCGCCCCCACATCGCCTGGGTCGGCTGCCATCGCCTCCATGTTGCCTGGGTCAGCTRCCGTCGCCTCAACATYGCCTGCCATCACCTCTTCGTAGCCTCTGTCGCCTGTGTTCGCCATCGCCAAGGCTCTGGCTCCATCAACCTCCGCTGGCTCCTCATCGCCTCCCGCCTCCCGCCTCCCGCCTCTTCCCTTGGCTCCACGTCTGCTCCTGCCTCATCCCTTGGCTCCACATCTGCTACCGCCTCCTCCCATGGCTCGATGTCTGCTCTCACCTCCTCCTATGGCTCCACATGGACGCCAGCTTACTCCTATGGCTCCACGTGAACTCCCGCCTCCTCCTGTGGTTCCATCCTTGTTCCTGCTGTGCCCTGTTTTGGATGGTTTCCTGGTCGTCCCCCTGAACTTTCATGTTTTGTCTTCGAGTCTGTTTTGTCATGTGTCTCCCCTTGTCCCATGCCTCTCCTTGTTGATGGATGGAGCCATCGTTAAGGGGGAGGTCCCAGTGGTCCATCTAGGATTTTTCTGAGTAAGGGGCCATCAAGGGGCCACAATATTCATAGCGGGGCCAAGTAATTGATCAGCATCCTTGCACACAAATCACTGGTTTTGGTATTTTATATATATATATA